GTTGAAGTTTTTAAACTTTGGTGTTGGAAAAGACTGCTGAGAATACCATAGCTAGCCAAGGGAGGAAAAAACAGATAACACAAGAAATCAATGCAGATTTCTCATTTTAGGCAGAAATTATCATTCTTAAATTATAGTAGTTTGCACATTCTTATCATTTGTATATGATACAATATATGGCCTGGTTATCCAAGGTTATCCTCCAATTGTTTCTGACCACCTGGTATTCAGAGTAAGTGCACTCTAGGTGCCTACTCTTAAACCATTAAACTTCTGGGGCCAAGGAAGTGTGCTTTCTCTGTTACTGCCCCCACTTTAGAATAGCAACCTCCAGAGATAGGAAAGGTTCCCGCTTCCCTGGCTTTCCCGAAAACCCCTAAGACCTGACTCTCTTCCTGTGTTCATTGATGTATGGGTGGGTCCACGAATTAGTATTGTATTTATTATTCTGGTGGTTTTAGTCCAGATCATCTATTTATGTGCTTGTTTTTATTGTGTGTTTTTTTTAAATTTTGTAAGCCGCCCAGAGTTTAAATTTAGTAAATTATTCATGCAGCATTGTTAAATTTTGTTTGTAAACAATCAGTTCTGAGAAAATGACACACAATAGTTAATACCCCCACTCCTATGTCTAAGATACTCTACTACCAATAATTTATAACAAAGAACATAACAACTCAGCATAGTTGTGGTTGTCATTTTGGGGCTAGTGGCAGCAAACTGTATTTCTCCCACAATAAGAACTTACGCCAGTGATACCAAGTAAATTGGTTGCCATTCAGCACAACTGAAAGTTGCCCAGGCTAGAGACAATTGATGTAAAAGATGCCCCACCCCATGACCTGATCACACTCCATAGCCAAATTCTAAGGTTTCATATCAGGTCTTAACAAATTTACTCATTTGGCGTTGGGATAGTTGCTTTCTTTTGGCCATTTGGCACAAATGTCACACATCTCAATTCAAGAAATTAGTGTGTTTTGAACCACATAGAATACATGTTTCAGTGTCCATTTCACAAGGGGCAGATTTCAAAGAACTAGAGATGTTGAGGGTGGGTTCATGGACTATGCTAGGTATATGGCAGGTGCATTGTTCACTCTTGGCATGTGATGTCATGGTTAAGAATGGCTTGCACCAACACATACGTCCAGGTTCAAAGTGACACCAGGGTATCTCACAGATCACAACGTCTCTGTTGTGAAAGCCTTGACAGCACACCAGATGTAAACTTCAGTCCTTTAATTCAGGCTGTTCCCACAAGTCCATTCAAATGAAGAATAGAACCAAAGTTCAGCCTTGCTTTGAGTTCCTGGGCTCTCCCACGTTAGAAATCAAGCATAGCTTGTTCAAATTGTAGCTGGTAAAGTTGGCTGGATCCCCATCCTCACAGAAATCTCAAGGGACAGGTTATTTTGCTCGTGTACTGGCTGCTCAGAAACTGCTGATGGAGAGAAGGGGAGGGGAAGTCATCTTAGCCCTCTATCTGCTTAGGCTGAGCAAGAGAAAGAAAGATCTGCTTCCCATTTGCCAATGGGTAGCCCTTGGTTACAGGCAGCAGCCGCTGTCTCTGGGATGCCAGTCAGGCTCTGCTATTGGTGGAGAGGGCCAGCCAGGCTCTCCAACTTGCTGATGGGCCACCCGTTGCCTTGGCAACAGCAGCATCCAGATACGCTTGTGAAGGCAAGGCAACAGAGATTCTGCAAGCTTCTCCAGAAAGCCCCAGCGACCACCATGCAGTTCCACCTGAACCTAAGCCACACAATGCAAGATTGGGAAGGGGGGGGGGGTAGAATTCCTTGAAATGTTCCACAGAATGCCTAGACGATCCTAGCAGGTATATTTCAGCGTACTGTCATACTGCAGGAAATCTTACAGGGTCTCAGATGAAATAATATTATCTTGGCGGGGGGGGGGGGGGGGGTGGCAGCACTAAAAAAAACTAGGAAGCTTTCATTATGGGCATCTTATATTCTCTGTGGCCATGCTTAATTCAACACAGGGCTTGGTGCACACTTTTCAACACAGGGCTTGATGTGTGCACACTTTTAGAAAAGTGCCCCTAAATGTAGAAGGCTGGTTATATGACAAGTCAAAATGCTATTCGCTGATTTATGATTTATCATATACTCTTGTGCAATAATGCCTCAGAGTGCCTTTTTTGTCCACTATTACATCAGCTATTACAACGTCTAAACTGGCTTCTGTATCTTCCAAGGAACTTTATTTGGAGCGATCCTTAAAACATCCTGGGATGAACAGGAACAACCATCTGAAATGGCATCTAATAGAAATCTACCTGCAGAGCAACAATCTAAAGGCAGTTCAAATAAATTAAGCTAATTACAAAATACGAAGAATATATATATATATAATCTCCCTCCTGGTGTGGTGGTTCTTCATATCCAATAGAACAGAACTCATTTTCTAGTTTCAGATTGATGGCTGCTTTTATGACACTCATCAATCACAAGAAACTTATTTCCTCTTGCTATCCATATATGGGGATTCATTCTTCTTAAATCCAGCTAGTTCAAGAACAAAGCACTCTAGCTTATGAATCTTAAATGATTTCACTAGCAGTTGTAGATCAGTACAGTACTAGGACTCCCTCTATAGTACTGTTTAGGAACAACATTCCAGTTTTTGAAAACAAAGGAGAATTGCTATAGGGGAGGGGTTATTGGCTAAAAATTGAAAGGGCAGGCACTCTTTCACCGCCATCCAGACTAGGAGCAGACAGCAGACAGTTTAGGGAGACTTAAAATGAAAATCATACAGAAAGGGGAAAAGAAAAATGGGGTTTACACCTATGAAGGACTAAGGCTGCAAGAGAAGACATATTTAGAAAAAAATAGATGTATTTGTACAATATACTAAATGTAGCTTGTGTTTATGTTGGTTTCTGGGATTCTATTATGCAATCCCAATGATTTGTTAATAATTTAATACACAGTGTGAAAATGGGATAATTCAGTTACCCAATTGTTTGGTTGGGTCAGTTAAGAAACATGATAAATTAGTTTAAAATATCATGTAAATGCTGGGGGTTTTTGGGGGGTGGGGGGAAGCCCCGGGAAGATGACTGCAGACAGCACAACCTCCAATTAAAAAGCACATTTTGGCACTATCGTAAGTCATCCCCAATGTTAATGTAAATGATGTCATAGTTAAAGGTAGCTCAGTAACGTATATCATAAATCTTTATGCTTCTGAAGTTTTAAAACAAAGTGTGTGTGTATAAATTAATGTTTGTGTGTGGCTTGAACGTTTTGGAGACATAAGGAAACCACAATACAGCTGTACAATACAATCTGCAAAAAAGCCCAGAATGGTCAAACTGTTTATCCAATTAAATTATATTTAGGATAAAGACATGATTGGCTCTCAGTACCAGAAGTCAAATTGTCCCTCTGTTTGAATGCTTAACAAAAACATTTGTTCATAACATTCAGATTTTTTCCTGTACTTTTACATTCTGCAGCAGCCTTGGGCCCAAATCCAGAAGTATCAACAATAAATATGCCTGTGCCAAACCAGAAACATTTCAACCCATGCGAAAAGAAAGGAAAAATCACCTCAAATCCTTCTACTCTTGACTCAGAGGAAGAATTTAATGCTATAGGAGTGGCATCTGGTGATAATATTTTGCATGGGCAAACATTCCTTCTCCCTAGGACCTAGGTTATTAAGCATGGACAATTAACTACATAAAACTATGCCTGCTTCGAATCTTTCTAAAACTGTAAAGTCCTCCGGGCACTAGATGAAGGTTCCCCAAGAGACTGCTCATGTAACCCAAAATCTGTTGAGTGCCCTGCAGCAGAAAGTCCACAAATGCCTTGGCACTGTTTTTCTGTTTTGCCGGCTCCCAAAGTTTCCCCAAGAGGAGATCAGCATACAAGGTTAGCACCACTTTCTTCTCTCGTCTGTTCACTGGAATCTGAGTAGGATCACGACGCCTGATAAAAACAGCACGAAGAGAAAACTTTCCAGGATTTTGTACTGCTCATCCTGCTGGTTCTCTCTGCGTTTCTGCAATTCCTGCTGCTTTAGCCTCATCAGGCGCTCCCGTTCCAACTGCTCGCCATAATGGGCTCGGTAAAATTCATCGAAATTGAAGATGGGCTTGCCTGAAGGGTAGTCAGAGGTGTAAACCGGCTTCTTCTTGGACACTGTCTGAGCAGCAGCTGCTGCTGCTTTACTTTTGCCGGGGGGCCTCTTGGCGTTGGAAATGTCCTTCTGGGTGAGGAGGCCACGGTCGTACTTCTTGCGCAGGCTGAGGTTGCCCAACACCTGGTAGGCCTGAGTGATGTGGATGAAGAGATCGGCTGCCTCCACGCTGCCCGCATTGCGATCCGGGTGATAGAGAAAGGACTTTCTGTAGTAAGCGGTCTTAATTTGGGCCTGAGTAGCGTTGCTTTGCACTCCCAGCAATTCGTACAGGTCCTTCGGGCGAGCACGGCGCCAAACGTTTCCCCCGCCTTCCCCCTCCTGGCCGTTACCCTGGCCAGGACCTGATCGCCCACGAAAGGCAAGGGTAGGCAGCGCTGCTTTGGGCCTAAGACCGGCTCCAAAGGACGACCAGAGGAGATCTGAGGCGAGGACCGAGGAGGCCCTTGACTGGCGCTGCGATCTTGCCAGGGCCATAGGCAGCGTCCTTAAAAGCCGACGGCGACTCGTTCCCCCGCGACCTCTGCCATCTTGAGTTACCCGACCGCCTTAAGCAAAAACCAGCCGGTAACCCAGAAAGGAAGCCCATTGGAAAATTCTTCCGGGCCGGCCAAAAGGCGGGGCGTAGTCAGGTATTGGTGCGCTCTTGATGGACGTGCCGTGCAAGCCACTAGCAAGAAGGCGAAAACAGAGATAAAGGCAGTGTGCTAAAGAGAGACGGTGCGTCCCAATGCGTGGAAGGGCTATGTGCGCATGTGCGAAGCGGTCAATGTAGTTTCGTTTCCGGTAAGAGCGGGGAGGTGGGGGCAGGAGAGCGTGGTCTACAGACAGACGGGGAGCTTGGCCAATTCAGGAGCTGGTAGGTGGGGCAAAGGACAATACGGGAAAAAGTACGTCAAACGTAGCGTTTATCTGTCTGATGAATTCTGTTTTCTACGTCACCCCACCTGTCCACCAATGGGAGCGCTTTAATAGGGTGGGTTCGGAATCCAAAACGTCTGAATCGAATGTCAGCAGAAATTGCGTAGTTCGGGACTTTTATTGGCAGCAGCTCAATGGGACACTAGAAGAATTTAGTGCCGCCTAGCACCGTCCTGTTATTAATCTTTTTAATAAAGATTGTTTTGTGGGGTTTTGTAAGGTTTTCTGTTGCTGTGTTAACATAACCCGTTAACACATAAATCGTTAACACTAATGGTTGCATTCGGACAATTGCAAATTACAATTGCTGCATAACGCAATCCGTTTTAACTTTTTGTGGCTTTTATCATGAGAACTCGGCCCTGTTGGTTAGCTGATTATTTAGTGTACTATGCAAAATGGATTCAGTATAGCAACTAGAGTGTGTTAAAAACCATAGGTGATTGGATTGATTTGTAATGCTGTGTTATATGCTGTGGATTGCAAATTACAGTCGCTGCATTCATGCATTATCTACATCGGAATGAAACAAGCCCAATTAAAGGGTGTCATGATGTGTGAACTCTTGTGTCATTTATAATACAGTAGCTTAAACTCTGAATTATAGCAGTGTTGGGGCTGTTGAGGTGGGCAGTAATTATGTTATATTTGCATTATGAGTTACTTGAAGATTTCACATATGCTTCAGGGAGCAGATCCTGAGTCTGAAAACAAAGTGGTTCTTTTCCGTCATGGTTAAATGATAAACTAGATTTCTCTTATAAACACTTGCCCTTTTACCCCAAAGTTGTGGGGGAGGAATGAAAAAAAAGGTAATTTCTACTTGCAGGGCCATTTGTCCATCTCTGGTTGAATATAAACTAACAAGATTAATATAGGCACCTGTAACAAGCCACGGTGATGTCAAAATGACGCATTATTACACTTTCAAAATTGTGCAATTATGTAGTTATTTTACATTTGTTGATTTAGAGAGAAAGTACTCAAACTGAGCTGCCTTGAATTATCAAACATTTTGAAATTTGGTTGCTGAATGAAGTAAGAGTAATATGTGATGGAAGTAAAGAAATTGAATGTGTAATGGTTTAGCATTTAGTAAGTAAGGCAAGGTGTGTGATGTTTCCTTAATGTATTTTTAAGTATTTTTTGGGTAAAAATCTAAGGAGCTCAGGTAGCAATAGCATTTAGACATATACCACTTCACAATGCTTTACAGCCCTCTCCAAGTCATTTACAGACTGTACTGTGTTCTGTATTTTGCACAGTAGTAGATTTGTAAATTGTGCAGATGCAGACAGATAAACTCAAAGTGACCAATCGGGATTACAGATGTAGCCATGTGACATGAACTACATTTCCCAGGATACTTTTAACTACATTTACCATGATGCATTCCCTTAAGGGGACAGCTCATAATTCCTAAGTAACTATCCAATTCCCATAGACTGGCTGGGACAGCACACTTAGGGTGCCAGTGATGTTCTGTGGTTGGCCAAAAGACTTGCAATGAATGTTAGACTGCATGATGCAATGAAAAGCATGAATTTGAGAATTAATATACCAACGATCCAGGTAGATGTGTTTGACAAAGAAAGTGGAGCAAATTAATGTATTGCAAGACAACCCATAAAAGCCAAAAAAGAAAATAAAATGAATTGGCACTCTTTGTAGAGCATTTACTAAAGAAGAGAAAATGGAAGCAAAAGCAAGCAGATGCTAGTAGAAATTTAGTGGGTGATGTGTAGTATATTGTACTGGATGAGTGTCAAAAGAAACAAACATGGCTATATGTAAGTACACTATGCCCATTTTTTTAATAAAGTGGGAATTGTTTGTCAGGAGAAATTGAACAAATATATTGGATGCAATGGCTATAGGATATTTAAGAACTGGGTGATAAAACAGGAAGATACAAAATGAATTTGGACTGAATACAGAAATCTATTATCAATATGAAATGAGCATGGGAATATCATTTGGTTATGCAGTATAGAGAGAATGAATGAGGATTAGATTGTAGAACAAAAACTTTTGTTCAAAGAAATGGATTGAGGCAAAGACTGAGAAAGATGTGCTTGAAGAGAACCTCAAGGGTAAGAAATGAAAACTATAATGAAAAAATGTATGAAGTGATGCATGAGCATAATAGAAGCAAAGATGATTTATCACAATGGAAGGATATGGAGAAATGTCCTCAATGGTGCTAGTGTAAGCTAGATTTAGTTTTATTTCCTTTTCTTTTTATCTTGTGCCTTTACATTTTTAGCTTACTATTTATTATTTCTGTTTTCACCCTGTATATTATTGCTTACCAAAAAGTAGACTGTAGTGTAGCTGGGGAGATTGGTATATAAAGCAGGGTATGTGAATCCTTGTAAAGCCTTTCTATTGTTTACCTTTAACTGGAAAAAAAAATGGCAATGTCAAAAACTGAAGAACTTGTTATCTAATTGTGACAGTGTGATCCAGCAAAGTTTTAGGAACCATATGCAGGACCAAAATTCCTGCACGTGGGTCCTGTGCTAAAACAATCAAATAAAAGGGTGGCTTAGCACAATGTGAAACCAGTTTTATAAAGTATTCTGGTATCAGGTTTTCCTGGATCCTGATTTTATTGCACACGCCAGAGCAAAGTAAGACCCTACAGGAATTTACCAGCTATAATTGGGTTTGTGGGTCCACATTATTGGAATTTCTTGAAATTGTTTTCTAGAGCTGGTTGACATCTTAATCTGTTGGAACCAAAATAACCAAGAAACTTTTGCTACCATGAAGATTTATTATGCCACATACTTAAAAAACGCACTACACTGAAAGCATTTTATTGCTAGTGGCTGCAGAGTTTCAAAACCAATGTGTCACTTTTACCCTATAGTGTCAAGATACTACTTCCATGTTGGAAGCACCGAGGCACTTCTGGGGGTGAAAGAATTAGCTGGTGACATCACTGTTGCCCAGGGGACGCAGAGTTGGGGTCTCTTTTCATGTCCTGTTAATATCAAGCATCAAGGTTATATTGTTGGCAACTCAGCTATGCTGATGATGGAAAGAAACAAATGGTAGGGGTGGGGAGCACAAGGGCCTATTCTTCCACAGTGTAGCCTCTTTTTATATTAAGTGGCCCTTCCCCTGAATTTGTTGTGTAATTTACTGACAAAAGTTGCTATGCTGGCCTATTTGTACTATTCAGATGGTGATGGGAAAGTGTTCTGTGACTGGGCCTTAGCTCTTCTGCTAGCTGGAACAATATTGAGAGATGATAAACTTTTGGGGCACCCATAGTAGGAATTTTCATTCTGACCGATAGTCTTTCAAAAGATCCTGTTTTGCCTTCGTTGGAAAAATTGGATAAGATGGATCTTACAGTAACGCCCCAGTCGTACTGCCAATTATGTTTCAAATAGGACTTCTACTGTAGAAGCAATATTCCTCTGAATCACAGCTGCTAAGATCAAGCAGAAGGGGGGAGTGATAAGTACTGTATATCATTGTGGTCCTTGGTGCTCTCTAACCTTGGTTGTTTTCTTGCAGATGTTTCATTATCAAAGATCAATGAAGTGCAGGGAAATACAAGAAAAACAACCAAGCTCAGATAGCACCAAGGATCCACAGTTCATCCCCGAGCTAAGTATTCTCTTCCATAATACATCACTTTTTGGGCCCTGTTTATTGAGCTTCTTAAGACACATTAGACCGGCCAATGCTGGAAACAAAATTGTGGATCTAATGAATCACTGGTCTGACCTGACATTGTCTTATGCTACTAATTTCCTCTAAGTATGGGTAGACTTGTTGTCTACTGAAAAACTATGTACACACAGGCAGACTTACATAAACATTGTAAGCTTGACTCTGGAACTATGCATATTCTTGGAAAATGGAAAAAGGGTAAAAAACATAATTGAAGTTGTAACTGTCTCCCCTCAGTAAAGACACACAGTGATGATGATGTAGTAAACAGGAACTAAAGCATAAATCCCTTCTCAGGTATATAGTAACTCTTTTTTTTTAGAGATGTACCTGTACTTGTAAAATTATGTACTGGTAAGGATACATAACTTTTCAAAGCCTAAAAGATGCCACATCACCTCTGTTTCCTGTTGGACTTCCAAAGTGGATCTACAATAGTTCTAAGACTTTGAACTGAAGTCAGAAAAAGTACTACAGAGGACTGAAGATCCACACCTATATGAATTACTAATGTATAAACTGGAAGATGTCAGCTAAGCCCACCAAGACAAAACAAAAGGTCACACAGATCTTATAGTTTAATCACTTCTGTTTCATTGGCCAGGTTGGGAGACAAGGTTGGTCCAGGTGGCTTTTGAGTTAGAGAAACTTTGGAGAAAAAGTCAACACAAGATGCTTCTTCTATAAGTTTCCTGCAGAGAACCAATCAATCAGTTGATTCATAAATATGGCTCTTCTGAAGGGATGAAGGACTCCTCTGGCATCCCAATTTTGGGCTAGGAAGAGCCATCGATGGTACTTATTCCTGTCACTGCTTGAGTAGCCTGTTCTGGGATGCCAGATGGGTTGGTCAGGATTGAAGTAGAAACACTCAGCTGGCGAAGGGAGCTCAGTACAGCTAAGGGGGAAAAATGTGTGGAGAGTATAAAATCATGACATACCTCTAAAACTTTCTGCTTCTTTGCTCTGGTAGGCTTCCTTAGGGAACAGAAATATTGAATCTTGCCAGTGCAAAGTACAGCAAGACTTCTCCCCAAAGAAATAACACTGCAGAAGTCACAAGTGATATGAAGTATTATAAACCTTCCCATATATACTGTCTTCATTCTTTCATTCTGCATATCCGGTTACATTCTTTCTGAATCTTCCTATGCTTTATAGCAGTGTTTCTCAACCTTGGCACCTTTAAGATGCACGAACTTCAACTCCCAGAATTCCTCAGCCAGCAAGATGATAATAAATGATGGG